GCCTGCTTCAAGGGTTGACCCCATGAAGGAATGCGCTGTCCCTGCGAAATCGCAAGCGAGTGGGAAACCTCGTCGAGACACTGCGGCTTTACCGTTGGTTTGCAGGGACCACGTTTGCGTCACTGCGTCCAAGCGCGCAACTCCTGGTGGTAGTTGTGCATGTTGTTGCCACACTTGCCCGGGGACGTGGACATACAGAGCTACAGGCATTTTTTGAAGGACGATGTTATCTGCGTCGTTCTGCGACGCTGCGTCGGCGTCCACTTCATGTAGCGTCCAACTCCAAAGTGTGCCCCGAGTATTTTTGAAGAGGCCGAAGGCCTTGAGTTCTGGCAAGGTTTGCGTGCTCCTAACGGGCATGTTTTGCAGCAGCGGCAACAAACCGACGACTCCACCCGTGGACTGGTCGCGGCGTTGCAACCAATTCTCCCGCCGGGATGGTAGTTCGGCAGGTTCGACGTGAAAGAGTGGTGTATCTTGAGCTACTATCCATAGCAGTTTTTATCTCTCCTGGTGGCTGCTACTTGGCGAGCACGAAGGTTGGCGGCTATGTATTTCGCTGCGTTGAGTCCATGCACAAATGGATTGTTGAGAAACTTTGGGCTTTTCTGATCTTTGCCTACAAGACACCGACGTTGGCGTTCGGCTCGACACTGCTTGCATTCGAGCGGTTGCTTGTGAAGGGCCACAGCCGCAAGCCTGAAGCAGCCCCTGGCCTGGATGGGTGGAGAACGAAAGAACTCCAGCGATTACCCTGGTTTGCTTTTGTACCGGTTGCACGCCTCTTCAACCACATTGAGCAAAATCTTTCTCCATTACCTCAAGTACTTACTGTTGCTAAACAAATGGTTCTCAATAGAAATGGGGATCCATCGCCAATGCAAAAGAGACTGATTACTTTGCTACCAGCACTTCTCCTGTCCTATTCAGGTTTACGCTTCCGGCAATTGCAGTCTTGGCAGCAAACGACACTCCCTTCAAACCTTTGTGGAGCCATTAAGGGTAGATCTATGAGCGCTGTCCATACCCAGCTGCGATTAGACCTTGATACCGCCAAGGATGATTCTGAAGTCCTAGTTGGTCTAAAACTCGACAAGTCCAAGTGTTTCGACCGGCTTATCCCAGCCGTGGCTGGGGTTCTCATGCTTGCCTTTGGCCTGCCACGGGGTGTTGTGCATTTTTTCCTCCAGATTTATGCCAACCTGCGACGGCATCTTGCCTTGAGGGGGTGGATTTCGCCTACGGCAACGACGGCCTCTAATGGAGTTGCACAGGGTTGTTGGTTATCCCTCATTGCCATCAACCTGTTTATGTCCGTCTGGGCGATCTTTTGTAATCTCATACCTACGGTTACCTCCAAGGCCTTTATCGACGACGCCTACATGTGGGCCAATATCAACCACCGCGCTGACTTGAAACGGGCCCTTGAAGTTACCTACTTTTGGGATACTCTGACTGGGCAACTCTCGAATCCCAAAAACTGTCAGCTCTGGGTTTCTGACCCCACCAAGAAGAAAATGGTCATTGCCTTATTCCCCGACATTCCACTCGCTGATGTAATTGATGTTCTGGGGATTAAGATGTATGTCTCTTCTCTTCGTTCGTATGACTTCGATCCCAAGAAAGGAGTAAAAGTTGTGGACGACTTGAGGAATATTGCCGCCCTTCCTTTGAAGCCAGACATCAAGCAGCACCTTATTGGGACCAAAGTTATTCCCCAGCTCACGTATGGCTCCGCCGTTACCAAGATCCCCCAGAAGGTTTTGCGGAAAAACCAAAATGAAGTCGTTAACGTTATCTGGGCACGAAGACCGCATTGGAGAGCCCGATTGCTTGTCCTTGGCGTCGTCGCCAAACCCCATCGGGTTGACCCATTGATTGCAAGGGCCTATGCGGCCATTCTCGACTTCGTTAGGTTTTTACATCAGATGCCAAGCGCCATTCAGACCTGTTGTGACCTACAGGGTGCGGCGACTTGGCCTCGTGATTCCCTGATTCAGCAAATTGCTGATGCATTGGGGCATCTTGGCTTGACACTGCATTCAGGTTTACGAATTTCATTTCGTGGATCATGCCCCATCTCGTTGTATGAGCTTCACCACCGTGATTTCACCAAACCACTTCAGTACTTTGCGCGACAGAAGTGCTATACCGATGCAGCCAAATCCACACGTAAAGACCTTCGTAGCTGCCAAGATATTTTTGACCCAGACCTTTCCTCATTGTTCCTTCGCCGCTCTGGTTTGCACCTTGACTCGACCATCCCGAACCGGATTTTCTTTGAATCTGTTCAAGTTGGATGTAACCTGACTAATGACCGGCTTTATCGAGCTGAACTTGTTGCAGCACCGAATTGTCGGTTGTGTGATTGCGCAAAGGAGACATGGGAACACCTCGTTTATCATTGTCCTGGTGTTGAGTCAGCGATCTCTAGACCACCGGATCATGAATTTGGGGTCAACTTTCCCATGTTTGGACTGTGTACGCACCCAAGGAAGGTCGCTCTTTCACGACTCCGATTGTCCCCTGTTGGAGACATCTCGGGCTCATTCGACCCTGAGCGGCTTGAACTTCTATGGACGGACGGCTCAGTCCAGTGGGGCAGCTATTTCTGGCTTGCCACTGGAGCCTATGCCATTGTCTATGCCCAGTTTCAAGTTGTTGAGTCGGGAGGCGTCAACCATTGGGAGCTTTCGGCGTACGCAACCGAATTGTTTGCACTCCTTCGTGCTGTCAAACGCGCGTCATGTCGCATGTTCGTTCTGACTGCCAATCGATCGTCGACCAGTTCAATGACTTGTGCCGTACACTTCAGGTTAATCCAGGCTGGTCCCACCAAGCATGGTGGCATGAACTACGGTGTACTTTGACATTGCGCCTTCTGGTTTGTACTACCCCGATCATTGTGTCGTGGACTCCAAGCCATCTTCTTGAGCACCTCCCCCCTGCTCTCATTACTGAGGCAGCTGCACGGGAATGTGGATCATCTTCACGAGACATTATAGCTAATCGGGTTGCTGACCATGAAGCTAAGCGCATTGCAACCGACCTTTCACCCATTCGACCTTCAGATCAAAAGATTGTTGAATGTGCGATTTTACGCCGACATGAATGGTTGGTTATGTTGAACTGGCTCTTGGAGACGACCCAACCGTCCCCGACCTTCACCCAAGCGGCTCCCACGACGACAGACACGGCAGCCTCTGTCATTTCCCGTTTCCCGCAATGGTTGTGGGGAACCCCGCTTACGGAGTTTTCCTGGAAACCGAAGATTTTCACTCGACAATCTCAACCTTCTCGATGGAGCTTTACTGAGGAGGATTGGCGTGATTTCCGATTGTTTCTGCAAGGTCTTCACTGGAAAGTAGATTCGGAAGCGTGTGTGGCTACGACGGAGCTTGCCTGTCTTTTTTGGTGGAGGGGTCGCCGACATACCCAGCTTGCCGCCGGTATCAGTTTTTATCACCATTTGATCCTGGTGTTTCGTTCTATGCTCAAGCAAGCCCTTCGCCTCGAGAATGCCCAGATTCTTCCTGGCGATCTTGTTGCAACGACGAACAAATACATTGGCTGTGCTTTTCCGAAAGGCATCATTGCAGGAGCGGCTGTTCACATGACCGACTGTGAGCGGCTCAAACTGGTGCATCTTTTCGACAATGGCGCTGGAAGGGCACTTAGTACGTGGGATGTCGTACTACCTGTGCCTGATAATTAGTGTACATTTGTGACCACCTGTGTCCTTCTTTCTTTTCACCACCCATGCTCCAGAGAGGGCGTGGTGGCGAGACGTGTGGACCGATTCGCGATGGTGTGCTAGGAGCCCCTAATAGCATCCTTCCTAGTAGCGATGCCAGGAGCCCCTAGTAGCGTCCTTGCTCCTAGTAGCGATGCCAGGAGCCCCTACTAGCGTCCTTGCTCCTAGTACAGGAGCCCCTAGTAGCATAGTAGCGATGCCAGGAGCCCCTCCCTAATAGCATCCTTGCTCCTAGCAGCGATGCCAGGAGCCCCTAGTAGCGTCCTTGCTCCTAGCAGCGATGCTAGGAGCGGGCCTCTACCCACAAAATGTCGATTATGCCTGTCCGCCCGGCGCGCATTACCGACACCACCCTTGAAAAACACAGCGTTTTTGCATTCTCCATCTTCGCCTCGCACTTCGATATGCGCAAGAAGCCCTGTAAAGCACAGTGTTTTTTATACCTCACACACACACGAAACACTGTAGATTACAGGGGCATCAGTGACCCGGCGGTTCCCCCGTTTTGGGCCCGAGGGTCGGCGGTTGGGGCGGCGAGCGTATTTAACCTTCGGTTACCACCGAAGGCCCTCCGTGCGCCGGCGCCCGGATTTAAAGGCTTACGCCCAACAGCCGGGCGCCGGCCCACTTGGGTCTGTGGGGCGTATGTCACGCCTATGTTGGCCTTGGTGGGGCCTATATTGAGCAAAGTTAAGCTATCTGGTGCGCATCTTGGCCCTAGGTTGGGCCAAGTGGGGCCATGTGGTCTATGTTGGGCACATCTTGGGCCCATGTTGAGCCTATGTTGGGCCTACGTTGGCCTATGTTAGGCCAACATAGGCCCAAGATGTGCCCAACATAGACCACATGGGCCCAACTTGGCCCAACCTAGGGCCAAGATGCGCACGAGATAGCTTAACTTTGCTCAATATAGGGCCCCCGTCTCCGACGCGGAGCAGTTTCCCGCCTTGGCCCCACCCAGGCCCAGTACGCCCCCGATAGCTTAACGCGCACCCGACCCAGCCCTACACAGACCCAAGTGGGCCGGCGCCCGGCTGTTAGGCGTAAGCCTTTAATATACATAGTAATTGTAACCTTCTGTTAAATGGTTGGATAATGGTGTGACTGGTTTGACCTTGGAATGAGAATCGCAGCTTGAAAAAAGGAATGAGTGTGCTTGACAGTAGCGCGCTCTAATAAGAAAACGGCTCTAAAATTCCAGTCTGCTCAACTTCCGTCCTTGCTGATGCAGGTCTGAGCATCCCACAGCTGCTTTGGTGTAGGTGAAAAGCGCTTCTTCCAATTCATGCCTGAGAGTGCCCAACACAAAATAAAGTGCGCGGAGGTTGAAGCTCATCAAATTGTTGACTGAGAAAATTCAAGTCTCTTGTTTCTGAGCCCATGGCTTTTTAAAAAGTTCGTTGCCTTTCTCCTTAAGAGCTTTGGCCACAGCTTGCGCTTCCACAGTTGACGATTTTCCTCGGACTTGGTACCAGAGGTGTGCAGCAATTCAGTGTAATTGACGCAATGCGCCTTCGGCAGCCTGTGGCACCTCAATCAAAGTGCGCGGTTTCCATTCGACACAGCCAGGTTTTCTGGCCGATGCCCAAGGCAACACCACCTCACTTCAATGAACTTATCAAACCAATAATAAGTTGATAAGTGTCTTGTTGAATTGCGCTTAAAGGTGAATGTTTTAAACGTTTTAACACACCGCGCTTGGGAGAGCAGAGCAGGGTCGGTTCAGTTTCTCCGAGCATCAAACCAAACCAAGGGTTTCTAAAGAGGGGTTCTCCCAGGAAGCTCCCAGGGAGCCTTCCTTGAAGCAAGGAGCTCAACTATTTAACTTGAGCCGCAAAGAGCTCAGGACTTGCTTTAACTTAAAGCCTTAACTGTCCTGCTCTGGGCGCAAAGAGAAAAGATCGAAGGAAAGGGGCACTGGCGTCCATTCCTCATGCGTCTGTCTTTGAAACTGCGTCCGCTCTCCCCCGAGATGCCACACTGTTTGTGCGGTGTCTTTGTCGGACTGGGCTCCTCAGTTCTTTCATACTTCCGGTGTATGAGACCAAGGAAGGTCTCAAAAGCACAAGCGCTCACCAAGTCTGCCACTGCGTCTCTGGCAAGAGACCACGTCCCAAATCTTCCCTACAACGCCCATTTGAAAGATTTTGAAAGCCCGGGCTCGTGTAATTCGAGCCAATATCTGCCATCTTCAGTCGCTGTGTGACTATCTTCCAGGGAGAATCTAAAAATATTGAAGGCAACCGGCAATGCTGCACCATTGGAACGATTGCGTTTCTTGCAAGAACGGCCAGCTACTCACAAATACTGACCGGACCTTTGGCCTTTGCAAAGGGCACCTTTGTGAGAAATTGAAACGCAGTTCCGAACAGTCTCTCTTTGGAGATAGCTCAATCCTTGACTACCATAAAAAACCGCGCGGTTTGCTTTGGGTTTCTGACCTCAGATGATGAGCAATTAGGTCTGTTATGTTGCTGTGCCAGAGTATATGCAACAAATGGGAACGACTCAAATTCAAGCAATGCACCCCATATTGGCCTAGAGTCAAACGCCTCCTTGATCCGTACCAAATACTGGTAAGCGTCAGCGTGAAGACAAGCATGCAAATTGACAAGAAACGAACGATTGCAGCGTGCACAATTTGGGTTCCTGCTCTTTCGGCTGAACGAGAGCTGCTTCTTGGAAGAACTGCAACAAGCCTTCAGCGATATCACGTTCCCATTCCTACCTGGGCCTTGGCAAGATTCCAAAACAATGGATGGCGATCTCAGGGCATGAACACGTGCCTTGCTCTGCAACCTCAGCTCCTGGAGATGCGCCTTCGTCATCAAAAGCACCAAATTCTGCCTGACTCCTTCTCTCCTGACCATTGCTTGTTAATTGTTGAGGCCATGAGACATGATTTGGAGAGATAATGTTAGATCACACGAAGCAAAGCTGAGAATGATCAAAAGCTAGGTAAGCAAACACACAGCTCCGACGCCTCCAACAACAAACAGATCGACTTCAGCAACAACAAGCTTCGCGCAATGGCATTGCCCTAACACCCACCAAACCTACTGCCGCCCCCTCGGCTCCCTCAGCACCAGCCACTCACGCCAGCCACCCCACCACCCAGACACTTAGGATTCAAGACGTATGACATACATACCCTGCCAGCACCCAGCAACAAATCAAGAGCGCCTTGCAAGTTGTTAAGGACAAACACGTGACAAAAGAACAAGTACAGGAAGCAGCAACATGCTATGGTCTTCCCCTTGCCCGAGCGCTCAGGCTACCTCCCAAAGCTCTTCAGCATCTTGTCGCTCTGGGCGCAGCCCTCCGCCTGACTGTGCATCCGAGCCCAACATGAGCCCAGCCATAGCAATCTTCACCAACTGGGCAGACTTCATACACCTCTCTCACACTTTATACACCACACACCCCAACAACCGCAGTTTACCTTAAACTTCAATACAACCAACACCCCACCCGACATCAATATCACCAATTTGGTCGCTCTTATGTTGGCTCCACCAGTATCAGCATCGCCAAACGAGAATACAACCATCACGCCAAGGTCAAACACAACCAAAACTCTTCACCACTACAGCACCATTTAAATTTACCTCTCCCATCACATCAACTACGACGCCACGTGGACTCGCGAACACCTCCACATACAAGACTGGCAACCCACCCTCAACTGGCCATACATCCAAAAACACTTGCGTACATCTCAAAGCCGACGGCCAAACACCGCACCCGATTCGCCCACCTGGCCACTCACATCCACACCACCCAACGAGAACACGCACTCAGCATCATCAGAGAACTCAGCAAACACAGCAAAGCTTCTTTCGAAGCAGCAAAATCCATTCGCAGTGGACGCTACACACATCTCGAAGTCTACGCAATGAGACGTATGGCAGCAAGCCTAGAAGAACCGGATCGATCCAGAGTCCTTCACTCGATCCATTCCAATTTCTCAACCTCACCATTCCCAAGACCAACCGACCCTTCACCATCCCTTCCTTGCCCACCACTCTTTTCACAACAACACAGAAAAAATGGCTCACTTCCCTTTCTCGCACACATTTCGATCATTCCCTTCCATCCACCCACCTAAAAAGCTTCACACAGTGGCTATGACATCATGGCCTCCCCACAGCACTACATATACACTCTTTGCCATTCCCCAATCGCTAATGGTCCCCACACATCCAGCAGCTCCGTTTTCAACCCAGATCACCTCTCGCAGCCTCACACAACTCCAACAATTCCTCCGCGATCAGGTCGTTCTACATCACGCAGACCACGAATTCCAGAATTTAGATGTTTTTTGTCCTCTACATTATTTTCGCGGATGTTTGACAACCCCACAACTCTTCAAACCACTCCCACATTTCAACACTGACCAACTTCGCCAATTCCTCACCACCTCTTTCCGCCCACTTACACAGAGCCTATCCCGGAAAGCTTTGGAGAAAAGGCAGAACAGTCATCAGCTATGTTAGGTCCATTGCAGTGCAGGAACCCTCCTACGCGCAACTTTTAAAGTTTTAGAGATCATGCTCAAACTTCTCCCCCAACTTCCCGGACAACTTTCGATCCATACCCTCTGGCAACAACTCCATCTCCACTTCCAACAGACACCCGAAGACAAGCCTATGCACGAAGTGGCAACTCAGCCACTCCACCACAACCCTCACTATCGAAATTCACTCGGCAAGCAACCCCATCCAACAATCTCACATAGGACTCATAGGACGCCACCACAAATTTCACCCGTAACAACGAACCCTTGACACGAAGACATCCCCACCATAATACAGAGAACTCTTCACACATGCATCTTCCAGGTTTGCAATACATTCTACCAACAGATACAAGGTTCAGGCATCGGCAGTCAACCCTCCCCTGCACTTTGCAACGTTGCGGTCACCTTGATCGAACACACATGGAATGAAACATATCACACTTTCCTCTCACAACCCACCCTTTCTCTCCTTAACATCAAATACGTGGACTACACGACGACCAAATTTTTGGCTTTCACATCAACCCCGCAGCCCGTGCAATCACATTTCAACTCCCCACACACGCTGGCAAATACGAGACCCGCACTCTGCTGGCAGCCAACGCCTACTTCTATCCTCTCTTGAAAGCTGCGCACACTCCATCCGCAAGCGTTCCTACCCCTCATCAATCTTTTCTGAGAGCGCACAGGCATTAGCACAGCTATATGTGGCGAAAGGCCACCCTGAAAACCGCAGCGAACAAAACATCAATATAGTTGCTCGCAAAGAGCCATTCTCTTACCTTACCATTGAGTTGCTAGTGTGTGTGACCCTTGAAATCACCGGGATCTTTTTGGAATGTACTGCTTGCTTTTTACTTCGGGTGACAGCAGGGGGCAGAGGGATCTCCAGTTGTGGCCTCTGCCAACGAAGCTCCACTCTGGATGATCAGGAAAATGTACCTGCTCGGTGCACCTGGGCGCATTGTAAGACGCAGCTGGTGGCCACCTTTTCCCTTGCAATTCTGCAGATGTGCACGGGCCGTCGTCACCTTGTCGCGCTCACGCAATTCGAGCTCGTGGGCTTTGGAGGTTCCTTGAGAGGTTCTAACCTGGCTCAAAACTAGGTGGGCGTGTGGCATGTGGCATTCGAGTCAGTGCGCATTTCTATAAGTGTGTCTCTCCTAGTGAGAGCTGAGGGTGACCCCGAAGAGTGGCCCCTGTGGACCCGTCGAACGGGTGTTTGTCAAACGTATCCCCTGCTCACAGCGAGCGTAGGCCGAGAGAACTCATATTTTTGTAGAGTTCTTGAATTCCAAGCTGGCTCAACGCCTCAACGTGGTCAGAGCGACCAAAGATTTTTTGAGGTTCGTTGGAACCTGTCGGGGCCTTAGAACTTTAGAGTGATGAGTTCCTCCCAACCACTTCCCGCTCCCCCCGCCATGCTCCCATTTCCTGCCGGATTGGCGCCGACGTGGTGGCTCAGGCTATACTTCATCGGGAAATCCTTCACGCACACGCCTCCCTGGACTTGGTCCTCGGGATTCTTCGCACTCACTTGGCGATCCTTTCACCTAAAATTTTGGAGAGGGTTACCGGACCATCCACGTTCTCGTTCACGCCTGAACCCGAGTTGATTGGCCCCTCTCACCCATATCTTCGCTGGCGCTATGATCTCAAAAGAACCCTTCCATTTCATTGGTTTCCTTTGTTTTTCCTCACGCGGACTTCGTGCCATACCATCACACCGTTCTTTCTCAATGTGGTTCTTCGGCTCCAGCCCCATGCTTTCATTGCACACTCTATCCGCCTACACCTGGTCATTTTTGTTCCCCTCACATGTCACGATTTCTTCCTTTTGGTGGTTTTCCTTGATACTTCGCTACCCTTTCGCCATGGAACGGCGTGACTCTTCGGGCTCCTCTCACCGCCGACGCCGTCGCCCCCACGGTCGCCCAGAGTTTTCCAGATCTCGAGATCAAGCTCCAGCTGATTCCGATGTAGCAGACTATGACGCCGATGATGCTGCTGAGACTCTTCCGGTACTCCACCTGCTGAACCCTCCGCCCCACCTGTTACGTCGGGGACATCCACTACTACCTTTTCAACCCCCGTCCCGCCACCTCCCACCACTTCCATGCACCCCCACAAACGCGACCACGTCGAGGAGCGCCCACAACACGAGGATCCATTCAACCCCCTAAACCACGGCGACACCTCTCGCCACGCCCTCGCGCCCAACTTCCTCCCGGGACCATCGACAACGGGCTCCACCTGGGACGTGAACTTCGCTCTCGGGACACACCCCCGTTCCCATTGGAAGCCATCGTGATCGTCGCTCTCATTCTCGAGCTCGCGACCGCAGTCGCCCGCGCCGATCAACTCAGGAACGTGATCGTCGACCACATGATTCACACCGCCGACAACATGATGATCGCCGACAGCATGATTCAAATCGTCGACACGCTTCTACTAGACGCGACCGTCATGACTCCAGGGCTTCTCGACGGTCGAATCACTCGCCAGCTCCTCGGCGCAGCCGCTCTCACCGGGACCCTCGTTCCCCGGCTCCTATACGACGCCGGCTCCTTCAACTCGGCCAAATGCGACCTGGGGACGCAACCACTTTGCCGACGGCCACAACTGGCACCGGGCAACACATCTTCTCGACCAACCACACCTCCACAGCTTTCACCCATACTACCACCCCACCGCCAACGCTGAGGCTGAGGAACTTCGTCTCCTATACGTCAGCAAAGCTCAACAACACCCACCTCAACCCGCCCTCCATCCCGCCCAACAGCAATTTCTACTGCAATCCCAATCCCATTTTTCAACCCTTTCCCCTTCTACTTTCCGAACTTCGACCCATCCAGCCAACCCCCCCACACCCCCCCGGCAATGTGTCGCTCGCAAGATGCAAGGACCACTTTGTCAGATACAAGCACGCTGGGCTGACCTCTTGGAGATTCAACGTGCTGTTGCCCCAGACCCAGATCCCTAAGACTTACTACTGAGTCCTTGGACACTTCCCTCATTTGAACTGACCGGATTCGCCAGACATTAAAGGTTGCCAGCGGTCTCACGATGCCATGCATTTTGCCCTCGACTTGCACCCTTTGTTACAATGTTAACCCGAGCCCCCCTTTGTTATTTTAACCCTACCCGATTTGATTCCCTCTCATCTCTTTCAAGTACACTTTCATCCACGGATTGCTGTCGCGACTTCGATTTTCCAGTACTTTTGGCTCAAATCTTGCCCCTTTCTCTTTTCACTCCCAATTGTTTCGCAGCTTCAGGGCCCTCTTCGACCACTCCGACGGCATCAACTACACCGACGGCCACCTCGACACATAGACCGCGCCCATCTATCGCGCCCCACCTACGCGACCATGATGAACCTGAGATTGTGTCTACTACCTTTTCCCAGAAAGCTCGACCTACAGAACCTCCATCCACCTTGCGTTCACAGGCCCTTCGGGACTGAATTTGTCCCACTACTCTCGGCTCCACCTTCCTCATCATCTACTACAACTGGTACGACACTGGCTCCGGGACTGTTCGGGTACCTGATCAAACCCACAGGTGAACGCGTACGCTTTCGCATCCCTTACCCATCTTTGCCTTTTTGTTTGCCCACCTCGTTTGACCCTCTCAATTTCCTGCAGCCATTTGGACCTCTACGTCTTGCGCGTTGCCCGCCCGCTTTGGCTCCCCTGCCTCGAGTTAATGTCAAACTTCCATGGAAGCCACTGCCAGCACCGATGCCAATGACATGGCCGAGGCCATGGAAACCCATCGCCATTGGACCAGACTCCACTTGGTGATGTACCAATCTTGAGTGATCAAGAAGCCCAGCTACGCAATAAACTCTTGCTACCTGTTGGCCCTGACGGTGTACTCGTCGATCTTGACCCTGTGGACTCACCTCCATTCGATCCCACAGCTCTTCCCAGTCTTCCTCGGGTTGAGAACCAATACAACATGGACTACGTTGACCGCTTCCACGCTCGCAACCATGGACGTTTCTTCTCCACCTCCCCGTGAAGAATGGACCTGTCGTGGCTTTGGCAAGGTCAAACATTGGTTCTATCGCGCATGGTTCCACGAAAAGACGATCGCCTGGGATCACACGGACGTGGACTACTATAAGCACACCAACTCCTTCTTTACTGACCAACACCCCTACTCGAGTTGGTCGGACTATCACTATCGCGTGTGGCCCACCCGTGGTTGGCAGCTGGTCTTGGGGGCTACCCCCAGTCTTCCCGTCTGGGCTGCTTGTGAACGATGGGAGCAGGCCCTGTACAAAGAGGAACAACAACTTCTTGCCCAACAGCAACGACCTCCTCCAGACGCTCATCCCCGTGGCGTCAAACGCCAGGCTGTCGACAATCTGGAGCATGAACGCGTAGATCTTTTGATCCAGAGTATGATCCAACGCTTCACCGACATGGACGTCTCTGGGAATCCTGCACTTCATCTGACTCCTGAAAAGCAGCATCAACTGATTGATGGCTTGGTTCACAACTTGTCCAGCTACCAAGACGAGCTGCACGCTGTCACGGACAGCAGCGGGAACCCTCTCAGGCTCTTCAGTTACCTCCTAACCTGAACCCTCAAACCTAGGTGGGCGTGTGGCATGTGGCATTCGAGTCAGTATGCATTTCTATAAGTGTGTGTGTGTGTGTTTGCCAGCTCCCGTCTCTAGAGAAACTACCTTTCTATGATTTCTCCTTTTTGACACTCCTGTACAGAAGGAAAGCAGTCACTGCCTAACAAAGACACTGCTGACCTGCGGCTTCGAGTGATTTAAACAACATTGTTGAGGACTTTTGCACCTTGCAGTTTGCTCAGGACCGTTTCTTCAGGTACTTTGCCAGGTCGTCTACTGCAGTATCATAAAGAGTTAGTGCACACCGCGAATCTCTCACCTTCTGCTCAGCGCGTGCGCGTACGTCATTGCACGCTTTTAACACACGCTGGGAACCTGCATCTGATTCCCGAGTTGTTGGTGTCGCTATTGCATTAGGTTTATGCAAATGTTGCTTGGGGCACAGACAACGGACCTCAAGAGATTCTATGGGGAATCAGAATCAAAAACCGACCTTTCGCACCAGGACAGCGCTAATTTCGATAATGTTTGAAGAAGAATAGAACGAAAGGAGTGGCGGCACGGGGTTTTTCGGAAGCTCATAGAGGACTTCGGAGGCAGTTGAGGGGTGCGTTTTTATTATGATTGAAACCACCTTTGGCAGCGGTCTTGGGAGCCAAAACCCCGCGCCGCCACCCTTTTGCAAGGGTGGGTGGGTGTTCTTTCCGTTTTGAGAAGTGTACCAGAAACATGTCCAAAGGTTTTGAATTTTTGAAAAGTGCGCCGCAAACACCTTTTGAGGCTTCCAAAGGTGTACCACAAACCTCTTCAGGCTTTCAATTATGTGTCACAAATACCTTTTCCACTTCAAAATGTGTGCCAGAAACACCCTTGCAGGCTTCTGCAGGCGCACCACAAACATTTTCTCGAACAAGAACAGTTCAAACAAATGGGCCGTCGCACGCGGACTGTCAAACTACATACTTACGCGAATGTCCTTGCGCTGACGCTGTTTTCCCAACTGCACCTGCGAAGGGTTCTCCGTAAAGAACCATTACTAAGTCATTACTATCACCAACACTACCATCGTAGCCGTCGCTGCAGTATCATAATCACCGTTTATCGTGCGTCATCGCCTACTACTGTGCTTTCGGGCACGAACCTGCTCAGAATATGTGTGAAATTGTCCTGGCGAAGGGACATTCGCAGAGGACCTTACAGGATTGAAACGCCATGTTGACCACAACGCCACTATGTGCGAAAGGAGTGGCGCAATATGTGTGAGACGTCAATCGGCACGCTAACTGATATACTTGCAGCAAGCAGCTACTTAGCACTTCGCTGCCACTCTCCTTTTTCTGTAGGGTCGAGAGGTTGTTTGTGTTCCTTCCCCTCTCTCTGTTTCGCTCGCTCTCTGTGTGTCTCTGCCTCTCTCTCTCTCTCTCTTTCTCTGTCTCTGTCTCTGTCTCTGTCTCTGTCTCACTCTCTCTCTCTCTCTGTGACTCTTTCATTGGCTCGGTCTCTCGCTGTCTCCTAGCCTTGTCTCTCTTGGAAGAGAAAGAGAAAGAGCAAGAGAAAGAGAAAAAGCAAGAGAAAGAGCAAAAGAAAGAGAAGAAGCAAGAGAAAGAGAAAGAGGAAGAGCAGGCAAAAGATGAACATGAAGAGGAAGAGGAAGAGGAGGAGAGGAAGCAAAAGAACGGAATGCTGATAATGCAAGGGCACTCTGGAAGCATAAGTTGCACCACGGGTCTGTGAAAACGATTTGAAGCCCAACAACATTAAAACACGTCAAAAAATTGTAAGGCAAACACACCGCAAAACACAATCCCTGAAGTGGGTCCACAGCAGGGGGCATTGATCGATTGACCGAACGGCCTCCGGCGAAGATTTGAAGGCTTAACGCCCGAAGCCTCCCAAGCGCACACCCATGAGGCGGACAAGGAAAGCTTGGGGTGGAGGGGTATTTGGGCGATGGTTGTGGCGGTGGTTGCGGTGGTTGTGGAGGTGAGGATAGGTGTGGTAGGTGTGGTGGCCGTGAGGATAATGGTGGGTGGTCTTGGTAGTTATTGTCGTGGGTGTGATGGTGGTGGTTGTTAATCTACTTTTAGTTAGTTTATTTCTTGCTAATAGCTTCTTGTCACTAGCAGTAAGGCCAGGAGCCCCTAGTGGCTTTCTTGCTCCTAGTAGCGATGCCCTTTGTTCCTAGTAGCGTTTGGTGGTTGTTGTTGGTGTTGCGGCGGTTGTCTGCTGCTGTTGCTGTTGTTGCGAAGTCAGCCTATGTTGGTCATCTTGGACTGGTTGTTGCTGCAGGTTGTTGGTGGTTGTTGTGGTGGTTGTCGTTGTATTCTGGTTGTTGCTGCAGGGCGAGAGGGACATGGAAAGCAAAAGCAACGAAATGCAAATAATGCGTGGCATCCTGGGCTGCAAGCTCGCACCACCAACTCTTCTTAACTAGCCTCTTGAAAGCCATGTATCGACCTTAACACCTGTGCCTGCCTGGGGGTCGCGACTTTTCACCTCTCGGCAAAAAGAATCATAAATACCACGTGTTTTGGCAAGGCAAGAAGACCAATGCCCAACAACAGGGACAGCGACAACGACCCTCGGGGCATCGCTGGTTTGCGAAGCTTTACACGTGTTTGCAGAGTGATTCAACAAAACTGTGATCAAGCCAAACCTGCCAGACAACATGTTGTTTTATACATCAATTGTTTACATGATGATGTTGCAAATTGCCCCCCGAAGAAAGTCTGAGACTAACTATGAGTTGACACCACCATTGAAAAGAAATAAGAAAGATTGCAAAAAAAAACCTGTGAAAATGTGGGCCGCTCAAAAACCACATAAAATAGAAATTTATAGAAATTTAACAAATTGTATAATAAAATAGAACGAGTGTAAATAGTGCTAATGGTCTTATTCAGTGGACCTAAAGGAAACAGCAAAAGCACTGTAAATAGAGCGCGCAAAGTAAAAGACACAAAACACCATGGCCGTCTAGAGTGAGAGTGCAATTAGCTAGAAGAAAAGGCACACTGAAAAACTCACAAACTACAAGGATATAGGACACAGAGCAACAGGCAGCAAAGGCCAATATGAGCAGGCACAGGCCACGTGTCTGGTGAATGGCGAAAACAGAGTCTGCATGGGTGTCCGGTGTCGGGATCCCCTGTGTAGATGCTCGCAACTGCAAAGCTTGAAATCCAGCGACTCGTGCCCAAAATCTATTGAGAGCCTTAATCAACTCGTTGATCTCTTTCCTAATCTCCAGGTTGCCCTCAGCGCACGCAACAATGTAAAACGATGTAACACCTTAAAAGGATAGATCACGTCACCTCGAGCACTTCTTCGAGCACATCACCATCACCATCAGCTGCAGCACCTCGGCCAGGAACTCAAAGGCTCAGGGAGATCGTCAGACACACTGAAAAAGCTCGTTCTGATTGTCCTATTCTGCGAAATCAACAATCGAAAAACTGAGGCAAGCACGAACCTGGACATGGCAGTTATGGCAAACGATGTCATGCACATGCAAAAGACTAACATGGATCCAAACAGTACCTGTAGATAGTGTTCAGGTTGATTTATGCCCACAACATTTCCCAGGCTCACCCAAGATAGTTCATTTCAAAATGTTTAATGTTGAACTTGGGAATTGAGCCAAGGGTACGAAGTGTCATTATTCTATTGATGTCTTGTCTTCGTCCAATGTGGGTTGGTTCAAAGTAACTCGTGCGACATCTCTGGTCCGAGTAACTCGGTCTGAGTAGGTGTTGCAAATTGGACAGTGGAGCGCACCCCGAGAAGACAACAGGGCTTCAGAAGCACCGTTCAACACTGTTGCGCCCAATCCCGTTTCAAAGGGCACGGATGCTTGTACAGATTTCAGCTCGTCTGTGCGCAGAAATAGATTAGATGGTAATCCGGATTTTTGATTGTACTTTGGGCTGGATTTGGGCTTTGGCCCTTGGCCAAGAACCATGCTGTAAAAGAATCCCGAACCTTTTGTGCGCTTCTGAAAATCGAACATGGTTTGTCGAAGGACGAAACAAAACTCATTGAGAATGCAAAATCTTTCTACGAAGTCAGGTTCTGCGAGCCCCTGGAAACTTCTGCGGACCTCTGCAAAGTGTCGTCTGCATACTTTGCTTTAGCACATATCCCATTGGTCAGTCATGCAACTAAAATCGCGCCGCCCGGCCACCTGTCAAGCTTCTACCCCGGGTGGGCGTCACTGAGCGTCTGCCAGTCTATTTAAATATTTATAGTCTCACCATAGCCCCAAGTGCACAAACGGATAACAGACTTACAAGCCAGGAGCCACTGCACAAGTGCAATTTTTCTGAATTGTCTGCACTTCTCCCAACAAACCAGAGCCTCCTTCAAAGAGCTAGAAACATCCTCAAGTGTCAGCATGACCAAATTATGAAAATCTCTTCTCACGGGAGTTCCAAAAAGGGACATTGTGCAAGTTAAAGCGCAGGCCTTCATTTTCGCTGCACTTGCATTACTCAGTTCGTGACCTGGAGTGAACCATTTGACATCTCCACAACTTCGTGCAACCCATCGAAGCGCCTCGAAAAGTGAAAAGTGCAAAGAACACTGTTAGTAAGACACAGCACAAAAGGAAAAATAAGAGTTCGAGTTCCTTCTGCCAGAATTGTCTTTGGAGGCGAAATATAGACGCATGAGCCGGCCAAGTTGCCCTGAACAAAGAACGAACAGTTCTGGGTGCGATACCCAGAACCTGCTAGCTGCATTGGTTCTGTGGCGGCAAGCTCCTTAGAAAACGAGTGGACAGCTCTCAGATTCCACCATGGCATAGTGTGGGTTTATGGCTATCTACTACCAGGTGTGTCTGGTGAGGTAGAGAATGATCAAATGGATAGGCGGTGCTTTGTCTGCACAGGCGATCTTTCAGCTTATATAAGAAAGGAACTCTTCGCTTGTCATCTGCAACCTTGAGCCCCTTCTCATCCTCGGCATGAACGCTGAATCAGGTTGAGAAGCGTCTGCAATGCTATATCAGTAAGTTCCTGGCCAGGGTGCTGTTCTTATTGCCTCAAGCGTGCCAAAAACATGGCAATCTTCCACTTTGATAGCATCTAGGTTTGACTGCCGCTTTTGTAGCTGGCAGCGCCTGAATCACCATGAAGAGATCGTATCATTCTCGTGCGGCTCTCCAACTCGGAAGTGAGGCTCGCGGTTCGACTAAATACATCAAGGTGTGATAAGGCCTGTATGCGGCTTCACAAGAGTTTTGTAATATATATATATATATATTTACTAGTCACTTTCGAATCCACTTCTCACAGCCTCAGCAAGGACCTACTACAAGCATTGCTACGAAACACACAAAGTGGAAGGCGCTGTGTGATCTGCTTTGTGTGTTGTAATAAAATGGTGGTGATGGTACACAACTACGCCAGCATAGGCCCCAGATAGCATTGGAATCATTGCAGTCAAGCTGTCGCGGCTTCTTCGCTCGCGTTTCATAGCAGCGGCAACCTCCAGCGGCACAGCACCCGAGCTCCCAAGTGCACACAGCCGCGGCAACCTGCAGCCCAAGCCCCCAAGCGCACAGCAGCGGCCACCAGCGGCACCAGCACCCAAGCCCGTAAGCGCACACAGGGGCACCACCAGCACCCAAGCGCCCAAGCGCACACAGCAGCGGCGCCCTGCAGCGGCACCGCCACCTCCCAAGCGCACACTGCAGCGGCATACCAGCACCCAGGCTCGAAAGCGCACACATACAGCTCTCCCTATACTTGAAGTAAGAACCCCAATAGCTCGCTCTATCTGGGGAAAAAGATTCAAAAGAAAGGAACCTCAAGCATCCTGTTAGAGGACAAAAGTCTGTGCAACTTCAGGCTGCAACACAACAAATCCATATTTTGTCAATTTGATAGGTTTATCGAACACTCGATGAGACTGGTCCAGCATGGTCTAGCCGTCCTGTTGTTGGTGGTTCAGCGCAACGGTCAACTCCTTGGGCATCAGCACAGCTTGTGCTTGTTGTCCATTCTCATGGTCCATAGAGTCCATAGTCTCTCAGTGCCCTCGTAACTGTCGCGTTAGTCCAAAATCATCAACCATGTTAGCCATCTTCACCAGCCTGGGTGAGATGAAGTAGCTGGCGCTCAGTCTCGTCTCTGTCGTTCAGCAACTGCCCGCCAAATACAGAGCGAGCAGTGTCGAATATCTGCCATATTTTCTCAGTGTGGTAGTAATTATTTGTATGTCTTTATATATACCCTGCGAACTACCAACACGGCCTGCATCGAAATAGTACACTTCGTCTGACTCGCGAACATGGAAGGAAAAACCTGCCTGAATCCTCCTTTATACAATTTTCACGTCCGATGTCAGCGAGCGAGTTGGAGTGTATGTCTTGGTCAATCCTCGCCTGAAGTCTTTTGCGTTGATTCGAGGACTTGAAGTGGCTGATGTCGTGAAGCTTCGTTTCAAGAGTGCGCTTGTTCCTTGATTCACGGACAAATCGTCTACATGACCAGAACAGGTTGTCTCCGGCTGCGTGCAAGTTTGCCAAGACCCCTGCGCAGCACTATCTCCAACATGATCCTTTCTGGCCTAAGGCAAGCTAGTACTGAAGGCATCGTTCCAAGCACAGCCCGATTGATGCTGAAACTCTGAACTCTAAACTTCTACTGCAGGAGTTTTGGCACCCAACCTCCAAATTGCGAGCTGTCTCAGTCAGGGCTGCGTCTTGTTGATCACAAACCGTAAGCCTAGCACAAGAGCTTCCATTTCTGCCATGTCTGCATCAGGACAGCGGCCCGCAACTTGTTTTGGCAGGTAGCTCTCTCTTCACTCTGGACAGTTCGGTCTTATAGCTGCTGAACCTCGGGGCTGACAACGGATTTTGTCCTCTTGAGTTGTACTGTCCTCCGCAATTTCATTACTGTACAGGAGCATCTCACCATTTTTGGCCACATGGTTGGCAGGTTGAAATGTCGATAGTGTGGAAAGCTCTGCCCTGGCATGTTGACACATCTTTGGCAAGGTTCAGAGGGCCCAACTGCTTCTGCAAGGTATCCATGTGGCCCTGAACGACCTGCAAAAAACAACTTCTTAGCAGAGTGAACACACAACACTTTCACAAGACAATACTAAGCAAGACAGTCCGAAGAAGCCAATACAATATCATTGCCACAAGAGCCAACATTAACATTAGTTATAGTGTTCCGTCAAAGAATTTTAGGCAAGGGATACTCCATGTGTATTTAAATATAGAGAGTGGGTAGTTGTGGCAGTGCGCTTTTTGGCCCATTTGGTATGACAAATGGATGATTTAAAATAGATAGTTCATTCTAATTCAACTCTACACGGATGCTAATTCAATTTTCGTTCAAATTCAATATTAATTTAGATCTAAAGAAATTGATTCAAATCCAATTATATAACTCCATTAAAACCTAATTAATTTCAGTTTGTTAAAATGGAATTTAGAAACAATTGGCATTCTAATTTAATTATTGTGCAATTAAAATTTGATTCTTGGTCAAGTCTAATTTACTTCAACAAAGCAGGTGTTGCTGGGGGTGTGAGTTTAAGACAAAATGCTATAAAATCCTGTGTCTTACAGTGGTTTCTTGCCCTGGGTGCTGGGAACTAGGTCACACACTGCTTTTGAGTAGACGAATAGACTTGTTCAAGTAATAGTTGGAATAATCACTTAAAATTAAGAAAGCTTTGTACTAAAGTTTCTATGTCAAAGGTTTTCCTCTACATCTCTGGAAGGATCCCTTCTATAACAAAATAACTTAAAGCTGCTAACTCAAGAGTGTTCCTCTTCATCTCTGGATTTGCTTTACCATTAAAAAGCTATGTTTGAAAGTTGTTTGATCAAAAGCTTTCCTTTAAATCTCTGAGAATAATAATTTCCATATGTAAAAAGCATGTATCTAAGCAGTTAATTTTAAAGCTTACCTGTTCATTTCTAAGAATAATCATGTCTATATGTAAAAATGCATTCTACATTGTAAGTATTTATTTCAAAAGCTGTTCCCTAGGTCTCTGGGATTGATCACTTCTATATTCAAGGCTAATATAAAAGCGTGCATTTCAAAAGCTGTCCCCCATATCTTTGGGCATGATGATTTGTTTAAAGATTATATATAGAAGTTGTGCATTTCACAAGAAAGGATCTCTGTGCATAAATATTTTCATATTTAAGAAACTTTGTATACACGTATATAAAAGTGCTTTTCACATACTTACCTCCAGATCTCTGGGGTTGATCACTTCTATATTGAAAAGCTTTGTTTGAAAGCTTTCATGTATATAGCTTTCCTCTGGATCTCTGGGAAAGTAGATTTTCCAGAGATGTGTGCTTTCATTAAGTGTATGCAATATGTATTTATCTGCCACTTGAAAAATCGCACCTTTTATGGAACACATAAATACAGACCCCATGGGACAAAATCAAAAACACCTTGAGAAAGCACAAAAATGTATATGTATGAGAGTCTTGACTGAACCCTCCCACAAAGGACAAACTTCTGAAAACATGTTTTTTTGGTGTGTTTTAGCTTGTTTTCTTCAAGAAGTGCCCACAAAGTGCAGAATCTTCTGCAGAGTGCACTCCTGGCAGTGTAGTTTTCTTGACAAAGGTTAACAGAGTGCCCTCCTCGCAGTGTAGTTGTCTTGACAAATCTTAACAGGGTGCCCTCCTGGCAGTGTGACAAATGTTGACTCAAAAGAAAACACATGTGCGAGGAAACTTAACATTTGTCAAGAAGGCTGCACTGCCAGGAGAGCACTCTGTCGAATGTTGGACCCTGTGGACAAACGCCAAAGAAAACAAACAAACAAACAAACAAAAACATGTTTTCAGAGGTTTGTCCTCTGGGGCGGATCAGTGAAGACTCTCTGAATTATTGGTTTTTGGTTTTCTTGGTTTTTGATTTGTTTGTTTCGTTTTTCAGTTTGTTGTTTTTTGACATATTTTGTCAATTGGTCAGGCTTTCCTGCTGGCTGCAATTGTTGTACAGCCATTTTTGACAATGCAATTTTCTTGACAAATGTTGACTCAAAAGAACACAAACGTGCAAAAAAACTGCACTGCCAGGAGTGCCCTTATGTAAATAGATGTGTATATATATATATATGTGTGTGTGGTGTTCTATACATTAATGCTTTTTATACGATATAGTTTTTACATTCATGCATACATTACATACCTTACATTGCATTGCATTGCAATTCATTTCATTGCATTGCATTAAATTACATTACATTACATCACATACATACATAACTTACAGACATACATACATACATACATACATAAATACATACATACATACATACACGCTCATACGTACATACGTACATACATACATTGCATTGCATTGCATTGCATTGCATCACATCACATCACATACATACATTGGATTTTAAAGCTCGCAATGTTCGACTTACGCAATCCGTGCAGCCTCACGTACCAATATCGAACACGCATGAACAGGGAGTGCACTTACACCAAGTATGCTCCACAGGAGCTTCCTCGATGCTGACGATGCTGTCATTACCAAGATCCAGCTGCTCCCATTTCGGGAGTCTAAAGGCCGCTTGTGTCCACCCATTAGAAGCACCGCAACCGAACTGCACCAGCCCATTAGTTTGCCAATTGACTCCTTTTCACGTTTGGCCATGACCTGTTCAATCCTTCATGATTGGCGGATGCAAAAGGTTACCACTCCCTCTTCGCAGAACTCCTTCAAGCAGCAGCTCTACTTCGACAGGTCTATATATTTCCTGCGAATTACTTACGTCGCATGTTGGAAGGGTAAAGCGTAAAAACAGTTTTGCTCTGCTGTTTTGGGGAGTGCAGCAAGGGGAACACTGCCTGCAAGCCCGGCCTTCTTTTGATTCTGGAAATCATGATTTAAAAGCCGAAGCTCCTCTATGCAGGACAGCCAGGCATCTTTAAACACGGCTGGTCATTGCGCACTGTCCGTTTTCGCTCCTCTACATCAAAGTTGTCTTCTCCTACACAGTCCAGCAACTGCAAATGAGTGCATACATGCGCCTCAAAGACTGGACAAAGAACAACATAAGTAGCCATTGACTTGGTACAAACTGGTGAGGCCTTCCGCCACATTGACCAAAACTGTACTGTACCTATATAATAAAATCTAACCACCATTAGCAGGTTGCAAATGTCCATGAACTCAGCCACTAGCTATAAGTTCTGCTCCAAATGAATTCTATCAGAGGTTGGATCTCACATTTCGTGCATGCTACATGTCGCAAATGCTACATGTCTATCATGGTCAAATTGAAATGCATTATCATGTCCAGCCACCTGCTGTTGGCCTGTCGCTCGCTTCGGCCCTCGCGGCACAAGCTTTCGGAGGTTTGAAGGAAAGGCTCACCCTCAATTTCTGGTGAAAGGAAAACTCGGAAAAACATGCAAGGCACGATGCAAACAGAGTCGAAGAATGAAGGCTTTCATGCCTAGATGAAGTGCTTGCAAAGTTTCTCGATTCTCGGGGCTTTGTGTTTCCTTCAAGTGCTTCTGTGGTGAGCTTGGAATGGCAAACGTCTCGGCATGTCTCGGCGGATTGCATCACGCCTCTTCATACGCAGCACGGAGAGCAACTTAGCGATTTCAGTATTAGAAACAACCAGAGAGCAACTCAGGGGATGAGGTCCAAATTACAAGATCAGAATGGAAACTAAGGCCTCCGCTTGAGATGACCGGCTTTTCAAGGATCTCACAAGGCTGGCCATCTCATCTTCGATATTCAGTTTCCTTGCGCTAGAGCTCAGGTGTCCGGCTGCAGCACTGTGCGATCCAATACTGAGGTGGCAACGCCACATTGCAGGCAACAATGTCCTGATGGCCATGCCACAGACTTCGGGAAAGTCACCTAGTCACCTAGTCTGTCTGCAAACTAAAAACATTCTCCTTGTAAACAGACACCTGCACAGAGCGGAATCATAAAATGTTTAGTCAGGATTGCAAATCCGGACCGAACCAACACTTTGCCTGGTCTGGCCCCGACTCGTCCGCGTACAGCTGTTTGGGCAAGTTCTTGATACAAACAGGAACCTGAAAGCCAAAACAGCGTCTGAGATGCCCCGATGACAATACGATTGTGTTGCCACCTGACCTGTTTGAAGCTACTATCCAGAGAGCATGCATTTAAAGCACGATCACAAGGACTCACAGGTTGCTATGGCCTTGTCACCCTGAGCGGTCGGAGCTGAGCTGGCAAAGACCGAATCAGGCCACTAGGCCAGAACTTACTGCCACACAACGCACAAAAAAGAACAATAGCAAGGAACCAATCAGGGACTTTGTGGTTGACATAGTTGACTGTCAGCCTTTTTCCAATTCATCGAGTTGGGCTGCATTCACTCTGTGGGAGAGCATGTTAGTGATGGTGAGTCCGGAGTGTGCAGAAGGGCAATCATTACACGACGTTCGCACAGTTTACATTGGTAGCAGAGCACGTAAGAGGGACGTTGTTTAACAGGGCAATCATTACCACGTAAGAGAGATTTAACAGTGGCAAGGAGAAAAAACAGGAAGCAGCTGCAAGGCATATACCAATGCATGCGGATGCGACACTGTACACTGCACCAAGTCGCTTACGGTGCAATTCTCCCCAGGTCCATATTGTTTTTCTGCGCCCATAAGATAGTAGCCTCATACAAACAAACTGGAAAGAAACAAACGTGTCAAGTCGTTCCAGCAAAAATACTGTAGTAGAATGTTGTCTGGACTGCTGGTCCTTTCTTTCCAGGGTGCTGATTGCACCCCAGGCATACACCTTCCAAGCACAGTCTTTGCTCGTCTTGCACTTGAGCGAAACAACTGGGTCACAACGCCTCGCCCCTGACGGTGACACATGCAGAGCTCTCAGGGCCACAGCTGCAACTCCTTGCGCACATAGCCCCTTCCTGGAACAAATATGAATCGAAGTTCCAAAGGGTAAGAAATTTGCACGGGTGACAAAAGAACTGGTCACAAAGAAAAAGCATGATAGCATTTCTTGGTGCTTCAATCGCAGTGCGGTTTTTGCAAGAATGTTTCCAGCACCTGCCCATTGAAAAACTTGACAGGGGTTGGAAGGTTCACAACCTCATGAGCGTCTTAAGTTCATCCACACAAAGCCTATGGCAATGCTGCTTCAAGTTCAGGGGGATTTACTTATTGAGCAGTGCACGAGTTCGCTCCCCGGAGCGTGAGCATTAAATCCATCCACGCCAAGCTGACCAGCCTCATGAAAACCACAGCAAACTTTCATCGCAGGTCACTCATGACAAAACTAAGATGCGGGCTCTATTCTGGCCCCATGCAAAAAGAGCACCTTTTTGGGTCAAAGCAAGACAATGGTTCCTCAGATGTGCAAGACTGGCCTGCGTGTGAACAAAAAGTGCCATGACTCTCTGACCGAACCTTTTTATAGCCATTTCCCAAAACCGTGATTCACAGGACGATATAGGCATGATGACCGAGAAAGTCTCTACAGCCCTTGCCATGGTATGGGGCGACTTGCTGCAAAGAAGCGAACCACAAGCAACCTGAACGATAATTTCCTGCCTGAGCAAGCAGCAACAAATTCGCTGAATAAGTTGCAAGAAACAAAGGATACATGCATCACTAACGTAAGCTGCGTGCTTGATGCTGGCACTTATTGGTGTCGGCATCAGCATCTTGTCCTCCAAAAAAAGGTTTGAAGTTGTTTTCCAGCTCGAGCATCTACAAAGTGTCAAAGTTTCCTGGTTGCTGCACACACGCCCAAGCTGGCCAAAGTCATTATTGGGGCCCCTGGCATTCAAGGAGGTGCTCATATTTTGAGGAAACTATATAATGAACATCTCTGTTTCTGAGATTTTGATTGGCAAACCTCAAAAACAGAGAAGCTTGACGCATGCAATGTTCTCAAAAAAAACATGTTGGAAGGTCCAGCTGTAAATCACACCCTCGTCTGTCAGTAGGAGTGCATGAGCTTTTCCAACAGCCGCCTCAGACTGACAGGTCATTTCCCTACTAGTAAGGCACTAGTTTCTACTAGCTTCTTGTTACTACTAGTAAGGCAAGTATTACTACTAGTAAGGCACTTGTTACTGACAGAAAGGGGCATTCACTTGTCCAAATACAGTGGCGCCTGCACGACAAACGCGTGATTTTCCCCTGCCGATGCCGCCTGACCACGCAGCCAACCCAAGACTAAAGGCTTATGTAGCTTGAGGTCTGGACAGGAAGTGATCGTAGCGTCATCCGAGCAGGCCATGAAATGGAAAAGTGTGAGCAAGGTCAGGTTCAATGAGTTATGTACGAGTGCAGGTAACTTCCTCAAGCCTCAAATTCACTGAAGAATCAAGGAAAAGTTTCCCATGCTCTGGGGATCCTGCGACTTCTGACAATGATGCTCATTGGCAATGAGTCATTGCCAAAAATGTTCCGAATCATGGTGAGTTCTTCTCCAAGATTGGGTGGGTTTTCTTGTGAACGAAGGGTTCATGGGACACTTTCCACAGCCAAATGGTCTTTGCAAAGAGAGGCTCATTGTTGAAGGAAAGATATATATATATATACATCAATACATTGTCCGACAAGAATCTCAAAGGCTAGCCCATGCATTTCGACCACAACATCAACTCCTGGATGCATACTTTGCAACTGGAGATATACAGTACAGCCGAAGAATCGCTATTTTTGAGACAGCAAGCTTCACGCGTGCTGGGTCATTAGCTCACTAAAGGCTCCAAGCGGTTCATTCACAGGAACCTCGCAACAACCTCAAAGGCAAAGCCGACAAAGCCTTCACCACAAATATCCAGTTCTTTAAACTTATCCTAGACTCAGCTAACCAGGTCTCAGGCACTCCAAGTCTCCCTAATCAATTTTGATTGAACCTCGTGAGTGCCACCCAAATGCAAAGCGTGTGACAAGTTGAGCTTTTGTCAAAGCCAATAGGCTTCTGACCGTAGATTGTGCGGACGAAGAAGAAAGTTGCACTAAACCTCTGCCGCAACATCCATTCAGGCATGCGCTCACAGTGACTTCGGGGATTTTGCATGCCAAGTGGCCCGATTGCACCAGTTATCAGTGCAAACGTGTAAGATATCACAAACCTGATAGTACTTCACTTGATCGTTTTTGCGTTCAGAAGAAAAAATTGCCGTTTTTTGCTAACTGAGTGAGGCAGCATGTATCCAAAGTACAGAAGAGCACCCACGTAGTGGCCAATCCTCAAATACAGATTGTCAACCAAGCCTTTTAGTACACCAACAGCCACATACCAATATGACACCACACAGCTGGTCGTTGGGAAGCGATCAACGACTATGAGAACCGCTTCGAAGACGACCAAACGATGAGACGATGAGACGATGAGCCAGAGGTGTAATAGGATCTGTACAAGTTCAATTGAAAACCTGGAGCAGGAAGTCCAGGGGGGCAGGAAAAACCTTCTAGGAAGGGAAAAAGACCTGCCACAGTGAAACAAAGTGAAACGGGGCAACGCGAAAAGGGCTGCCATGACAGCGGGTCAGAGCAGGATAAGGAGCTGGGCACGCCACCAAGACATCTTCGTAGTGGTGCACTGGCCCCCAGGGCTGAGGCATAGACCATGTCGCCCCCGCCATTGGTGTCCCCGCAGAGTCAGAATACAGAAGCCAAGGCCCACTGTACCGACGACCGTCGTGTTGCAAGAGAAAAATGCAATAAAAGGTCGGGGTCTAGGAAGAGGAAAGGCAAGAAGCGAACAGCCACCAACGGCAACTCACGGTTCCAGGAGCAAGCCTGCAACAAGGCCGGAGGCATGCGGTGGCGCCGCGGCACCACGACGCCGACGGCGCAATGCCCGTCCAGCTCCTCGCGCCAGCACGACAGCAAGCTGGTCCAGGAGGCGAGCCTTCACAAGGGTCAGATCAATGCCCTCGACTGTGGCAACCAAGCCAGCCAAGCGGTGAAGGAAAGCCCGCGTTGCTGCCGTGCACCCACCATAGATGTCCCACACAAGGGGCTGGTAATGAATGCCAACTTGTTGGCAGGAGGCCGCGGTATCCAAGTGATCCCGCTTCCGCTGCGCGTAGGCAGTGACAGCATCTGGCGCCCCACGTAAGGTGGCATCCCAGTGACTGGGGCCCAAGGCGTTGATGATAGCCACATCCAAGGCGAGAGCACCAAGCCCAACGGGCCGGGAGCCATCAGGCAAGGCTGGAAGAAGGCCAACCCCACCTCGCAAGAAGATGTCAGCAGGCCGCCGTCGCCCATCCAAAAGTCCAGGGGCTTCTGCCTGGGGCCGCAGCTGGGCCCGTGCACAGTAGTCGTGCAAGAGGTCCCGCAAGCCATTGTGGAGAGCAACAGCATCACCGCCGGCCATACAAGATTGTGGCGACCCTTTACATCCATAGGCAAACCGCAAAAACGGCAGGCCCCGCCCCCAAGGCACATATCGACGCCAAGGCGACCACCCAAACAAGTCAGGAAATCATCCTTGGAGAGATTGGTGTCAAGTACGCGCGTAGGGACAAGGTTCAAAACCGTTTCAGCAGACTGAGCAGAACATGCGTGGAGGCGACAAACATCATCGGTGCCTGCAGCTGCCTTCCAAGCCAGAACGTGCACTTCCCGGAGTCGATGTGAGATGGCCGGTTGGCTCAAACTGCGGTCCGGCTGGTCCCCCAAAGGAGGTTGGAGACCAGCTTGTTGCAGCAACCCATTGCACCGGGCAATAGCCAACCCAAGTTCACTGCCACCGTCCGAGCCATCCCAAGCAGCGGGCGTCCACAGGGCGTGGCACCGCTCCAAAACCAGGAGACGTGAGCCACCACACACCACAAGTGTGCCCGCAAGGCCCAAGATTTGGCACTTGCAGGTCCACCTGTGGACTTCAGACACATTTGAATTGGGCCATTGGCCATTGAAATTGACAGTACATAAGTAGGAAGTGTTCCATAAAACGATTAAACCTATACATATATTATATATGTGTATATTACGTGATAGAGACTTCCGAGCAGAATCGAGAAAGCGTCTGATCTTGCTCAACACTCTAACAGTAACACTGTGGTTCGCTTTGCAGTTTTAAAAGAAAACTCGCTTGGCCTTACAAACTAGGTGTCACCCACCTTCCATGCCTCATGAGGAGAGTTGATCGCACCAAAATGCAAGCTAGGACTTGCGAACAAGATCGTATCCAACCCAGTGCTGCAGACCTTGCAATGAATTTACAACCTGTTGGACAGCAATGCCATCATGTCTAGTCTGCAACCCAAACATGAGAGAATCCACGGGATGTATAGGCGGCACTACTCTGGAGGGCCCGCGTTCTCAAGCAGCATTTTGATCCGACTCATGTTTCAAACTAAAGATGGTGTTCCAGCATTGCCCGGTCGAAAAAAACTTGATGTTGTATGTACAAGTATCTGCGTCTAAAATATGCGCGCAAACAGTGGAATATGATGTCACGCGTATAGATATACGTATACGTCATGTACGCGTACAAAAATATGCGCGCGAACAACGGGCTTCACGCGCACCATGCGCAAGAGTTGAAACATATCAAGAACAAGGCATGCCAGATTACTCGAAACACAACCACCAGCACCAATACCCAGCACCGACACCCTATTGTCAAAGTGCACACAGCCTGCTCACAGCAACGGCACCAGTACCAGCGCCCATGCACCGACACCCTGCTTTCCAAGCGTGCAGCCAGCTCACAGCACCGGACAGCACTGGCACCCACCGGCAGCGTCTCGAAAGCGCGCAGTATATAAATGAATGAAGTAAGAATCCCATATGAAAAAGAAATCAATGGCTATCACTATCCGGGGAAAAAAAGTTGAACAGGCATTTTGGTGCCGTCACACGTCACAGGTCGCAGTCGCCAGTCGCAGATCACATTAAACAAGTAAAAAATAACGCCAGCATAGACCCCAGAGCATTGGAATCATTGCAGTCAAGCTGTCGCAGCTTCTTCGCTCGCAGCACCCAAGCGCCCAAGCGCACACAGCAGCGGCGCCCTGCAGCGATATCAGCACCCAGGCCCGAAGGCGCACACATGCAGCTCTCCCTATACTTGAAGTAAAAACCCCAATAGCTCTCGCTATCTGGGGAAAACACACTGACTCCGGATGTCAGCTAGCACTTTACTCAATCATCATATTGTATACAGTAAAGTAAAGACGAAAAGTTAGCAAAAGGCCAATCTGAAGGACTTCAACTTCAACAAGTACCCAAATAGACACACAGCTTGTCAGCATGCGATATTGATGATGGCCCGAGACTTGGCAAAGGTCCATGTCTGGGTATTGGTGCTCGTGTCTGTGCATTTTTGTATGGCATCTTGGTCGCAGTCATTGAGCTGTCCAGCAATTCTCAGACGCGGGTGGCTTCAAACAGCTCTAGAGGTCTTTGCATCTCAAAGAAATAGATTTGCCTTTGAGGAGACTGGAGTGCCTAGAGCTAGAGGCGTGAATGCACTAGTACAACAAATATAATATAAACGTTAACAGTTGCGAGCTGTGGACTTAAGAAAGGCTGTCTTTGGGCACCAGTACTCCAGGACTTGGCTCCCAACTGCATCCGGGTGAAGTAGTACAAGCCTCAGACAAGTGCTCCGAAGCTATTGTCATGCTGCAAGGGCTATATAAATCTCACAGGAGCGAACAAGAATATCCAAAGACGTACAGCGCAGAGGATGCACTTGTAAAGAACGATCTCCACCACCAGTTGTAGTCCTGGCCAAGTCATGGCCAAAATCGTGGTGTTGCCGTAAAATCAAGCTTAAAACAGGGAATCATAATAACCAGGGCAGTTTCTGCAATCACTGCAACACATGGTTTGAGCAAAAGAGTGTTGGGGCAGGAGGATTGCTGACTACAACAGTCTGTGTGCACTGATCCTAATCATATCAATGCTGTGCCTCATTCGTGAGCTGGAAGTATGCCAGCGTAATTGATATTTCAGCACATGTCACAACCAGGATGACGAGGACCAGCATAAGGAAACCAAACAAGTAGTAGAACCTCTGAAGCTTGACCGAAGTCAAAGCAAGAGAAAAGCCACAGCTCTTGTGCATATTGTGCTGGATTCACTCCCAAGGTCAGGACTGGTGCTGCCAAATGGAAGACATAATGAAGAAAAGCTCTGTAAACACCTCGAAAGCTGATTCTTTTAAGTCAGCTTGTTCTGCTTCAAGCAATCTCATTCTATCCAAGTCACTCCAGCGAACGGCAGCACACCGCCCACCAAGCATGAGAATGTCTGCAACACAGAAGAAAGGAGCAAATAAAGGAGCAAAAGGCAGAGTCTGAAGATAGCTTCGTGTGTGCGCAAAGCATGCAAAGGAAGCTGTGAAAACTGAGAAAAAGGTACCCGTTCATCATTGTACTTTCTATCTAGACCCAGTTGCCCGGAATTGCTGAGCATCTGTCTCCAGTAATGTACCATGGCTGCGCTGGAACTTGTCGAGGGATTTGATTGGTACGAACTGGAAGTGAGATGGGTGCCTCGCGGCACAACGGGCCTGTTCAAGAGTTGCTAATCTTACTAATCGAGCCTTTTTATAGCCGAAGAAAGCACCAAGAAAGACCAGTGGCACCGAAATTCCAAACCTGCGAGAAGACAAACCAAGACAAACCTTGACTTGAATGGGGAAGACAAAGGAGACCTTCTTCTCTCTGAAAGTGCAGACACGTCGCCAAAGGACGAGAAGTGCAAACATCGTCGTGAACGGAACTGCTCCAGAGGACTTCGTGCCTTGCACAGAAACAAATTAACAACTCCAAACGGTTTGGTTTACATGAAGGGCAATGACTCAAATGACCAAGCATCCGACCCCATATAAACAAATCCAGCACAAAGAAGATGCAGAAAACGGTTCCAGGGTACCTGTGCGCAGTTAGATCTCTAGAATCTCCTCATTTAGATGGCCTGAGTGGGTGCAGAAAGGCTGTTAGAAGCGTGGTCTTCTTCCAATCCTCAGCATCATGTAGGCATGAGTTGTCTTCTCCCCTATTGAATGAAACGCCACTTGGAGCTGTACCTCACCCTTCCACATTTTGTAGAAGCGGGCTGAAGTGTAGCCTTGCCATGAGCCAGCTACTTTGATGTGCTTCAAACCCCAACTTGACCCTTCATGCTCTTCGTTGCCAATCCAACTTCTGATTGTTTCGCTTCGGCGCTCTCCCCTTCACATTGTAGGCACCTGCAAGAATACCCGCGAAGGTGAAGAGAAGAAGCATGCCCTGGTCAAGCAATGGGCATATCTTTTCCTCTGAATGAAGACCGTCAGAACAACAGGAAGGTGTCCTGGAGAATGGATCCACGATGGACAGGTGAAAGGAAGCCAATGGCTGAAAACACCAGGGTAACACATGAGCAAACCAGCAGCTGAACCTTGGGAACGGTCATCAAATGAACGTCATCTCAACTACCCCCTAGTGGCCGACCCGCTTCAACCCCTTTCAAAAGGCATGCAGTAACACTTCTGAAAGAGTCTGGTAGAAGCTTTGGCATCATGTACCTCATGCATACCTCTTCCATAGCTAATTACCTCATTTTTAAGGTGCACTGCAACACTTGAGAAGAACTGGCTGGCAAAATCAAGCTGGGAGTCGTGCCCCTGAACCAACAGAAACTGCCAAAGCCTCACACATTCGCAAGGAACGAAACTACAGCAAGAGCACTGTTTTGACATCCACTGGTGTATATGTATAACGCATGTCACATCTCTCGCTGTGTGTGGATTAGAATAAACGTCCTGGTCCATGTCCTTGTTCATCGACCAAGCATCCTGCTTTCAACGTTACCTAATCCGTCGCCCGACCTGCTTGCTGCCTGATATGTCTACCCGCCGTGAACACTCTTCACTGGCCTCTAGGCCAAATGTTTTAGAAGTTTGTTGTGAGCTTATAAATCTATTGAACTTTGATGTGTGTTGATGCAAATACAATCCTCCAAAACTGCGGTAAGTGTATAGACCTTACATATTCCTGAACCAAACCAGTTCTCATCAAATGTTCAAAGCTATTCCTTATGTCTGTGTGAAGCTATGACGTCGAAGTGCAAGATTTGCTCCAAGGCCCGCCTTGGAGTGTGGGGGTTTTCGGAAAACATCTCCATGAACCAATTTCCAACCTGTCTCCTGGCAGTTTCTACACGTGTGGCAGGGCATTTGCCAGTCAAAAAAAATGCCATTCCTCTGCAGAGTCGTCAGCATCCATGTCATTGTATTTGGCGATATCTCCTCAGTTTCAGCCATCTGAACTCAACTTTCGGCAAAAGAAGTGGAACCCACATCCAAAGTTGTTGGCCAAAGATTCGATGTAAAGTTCGCAGAAGAATCATGGCCACCATTCCAGACAAGAAAAGCACCTGAGTTCATGGATCCAAATATGATTGTTCCAGACTTCGCAGAATCTGCGAAGTACATAGAAGGATCTGTTCAGGATCATCTGCATGTTTATGCTACCGGCGCTGTTAAGGACCCAATGGCAAGATTGCAGTTTTATGTTCTATTCATGCAACTTCCCTGGTTAACAATGTCGGGGTGGGGGGGCGGTAATTTGCGTGGTGATTCGCAGGCCCTCAATGGTCGCGCGACAGTTTTTCCAGTTTCAGCATGTGCGTGCTTTGAGCGGTCACTTTTGTCTTTGTGTTTTGTGCGCAATTAGAGGTCTGGTTTCTGATTGGCGTCGAACACGTGGATAGGCCGGGTTGATCTGGTTGGGGGCCCGCAATACTTGCTGTTTGGAACGCTTTGTTTGGAAATCCTGAAGCTAGAGTCACGTGAAACAAGAATTACTGCCTCTGTCTTCGAGGGTCGTCAGGCCCAAGCAAGAGGCAAAAGGAAAACAAAGAGCTCAAGGAGCAGAACAAAAGGTGCACGGGCAAAAGAGCTAGCAAAGGGGCCTGTTAATCTGTGCAAAGCCACAGCTAGCGGTAAAGGCAAAATAGCCAAGGAAAAATGGCCAGCACGGCAGGCCGAAAATGCCAGCCCGTGAGGCGAAGGAGGAAGAAAGGGGGCCAAAAGCAACCAAGCTATTGAGCGTGGAAGCAGCCAAAGGGAGAAAGCAGGAACAAGCCGGCTCACAGAATCACCTCAATCATAAAGATCGTGGAAGCAGCCTTCAGTCTGCCAATTCTGCCCTCCGGCGCAGAACGGCACGAGCCCGATGTGCGCGGAGGAGGACGGATAGCTCCTGGAGCAGTTCGCTGTGCAAAGCAGCAGCATCATCTCCAGCAGGGGCAGCCGCGCTGCGGGCAATTTGGAGCAGGATCTGACTGGCTTCAGGGGCCCATGCCCCCAAGGATTCGGCAACAAAGGGCACGAATTGGACTCCTTGTTGGTTGCACAGCGCTGCAGTGTTGAGGTGCGCGGCCTTCACAGCCGCATACTGCGAGGCGGCAGCCAGTGGAGTGGCAGCAGCCTGTCCAACAACATCCTGTCGCTGAGGGGCCGTGATGGCCAGGTCAATTGCAGCAGGGGTGCCGTTGAAGCTAGGCAAAAAAATGTCCGCAGGCCGCCGAAGCTGGGCGCCGACATCTTCAGGTCTCTGTGGCAGGAGCAGGTGCGGGCGCTCCTTCTCTGGTTGGAGGCCGGCGCGGTCGGCCCATCGGTACACCGCGTCGCGGACAGCTGTGTGTCTCAACGTCTTTTCTCCGCCAGCGACACAGGTGCCAGCATGAAGGGAATGTGTGTCAAGGATGCCTTGGCACTGTGGGCACCATGCGTCTGCAGCCGCATCCGGCACTCCCAAGCGCTGGCGAAGTTCTGTGACAAACTTGTCCATGGGCAGCGAGGAAGGCACGGGCGCCAGGTTCGGCTTCTGATCGGAGCAGCGCCTGCCGAGTGGGCGGGGAGCTGCTCAGGCGGCGATCCCAAGACCAAGAGGCGTCATCCATTAGCCGCGTCAACGCCTTCTGTTTCATACTCAGCGCAGCACAGGGAGCCAAGGGGTTTGCGAGCATGGTGTTCAGGGTTGCAGTTGCTCGGGTAACACTGGGCTGCAGCACGACAGCTCCTGCAGTGTAGGCGGAATCAACTTCCTCGCAAGCCATAGCGCGCCCACCACCAATGGAAGAAAGAAAGGCCGCGGGAGCATCGAGAGTGGCCGATCGCAGTCCTAGGCCAGCAAACTTGAGCGCTCGCCCCACTTGCGCTTGCCGGTCAGCCGTCAAGTGGAGCCCCGTGATGCTGGAGAGGGTGGCTTGGACCATAGAGTCGAAGCGCTGCAATGCCGCGGTGTGGTTGTCTGGGGGAGTGCAGCGCACGCTGTGCATGATGCGGTCATGGCTGGCACAGCTGCGGAGCAAGCGCAAGCCGACTTGAGCATTAGCAACGGACGATAAGGCCTCCAGTAGAGGGGCTATGGCTTGGACCCGTCGGTCTGTGTGTTCACGGACAAACTCTTGATCGCCGATGGCTGCTCCAAGGAGCTCGAAGTTGCGCTGGAGTCGGGAAGTGCCATCAGGGCGCTGGAGCAGCTCGGGAGGCAAGTGACTTTGTAAGTAGGCAGGCTGCACCTGTCCCACAGCAACCACTTCGCATTTTGCCAGGTTGCAGGCCCAGCGCAGCACCACGAGCTTGGAGGTGAGCAAGCCCGGCACCAACGGCGGCACCGTCTCCTGCTAGCACACCATCATCCAGATAGAACAAGGCAAGGTCCAGGGGCCCCGTCACCAACTCGCGAATGGCAACTGCAAATGGTAGAGGGCCTAGTGGGTCTCCTTGCTCCACCCCGCCCGTGCAACTGCCAAACCGCAGGTTGCTGGGACGCTGGTAGCACCAGGTAATCCGCGGGAAATGGTGGGGAAGTGCTTGGTGGCATTGTCCAGGACAGCTTGGCGGGAGATGCGGTTGAAAGCGTTGGCGAAGTCTAGTTTGACAAGGACCTTTGTTTCGTTGAGCCCAGGCTCGGGTGGTGTGGACACCAATTTCAACCCCAGCTCGCACTCCCACGCCAAGCTGAGCAGGCCAGAACGTGCGCCGGGCATCATCTTGAACCATGTGCGTCAGGCACTTGGCAGTCAGGCGCCGCAGCACCTCGCCAATGGCTATAGGCCGGACCCCTCCAGTAGGCTTCGGCACCGCCACCAGGCTTGCGCCTCCAAGCAGCTGCGACTGCTGGGCAAGCTTGTCCTTGCGCAAGTACATTCACAAGTCTGGTCAAATCCTCGATCAAGGTGGTCGACATGCCTGAGCCACCGGCTTCGCGGAGGTGCTGGATTCGTAAGCCAGAAGGGCCTGGCGCGGTGTCGGCCGGGAAGCTTCGGAGGGCCCGGGCAACAGTCCTCACATACTTCATCAGCCAGCGGGAGGGATCCCAGGTCCGCGGCTGGCGCAGGTTGCGCTGGGCGCAAAGCCCGGAGGGCAGCCGCTGTCTCGGCGTTGTCGGGGCAGAGGCCGGCGTGCACCAACGCGTTGCAGGCTTTCCGGTCGAAACCTTCCCGCGCAAGGCCGATGGCGAGCTCGCGGCGCTGTTCTTTGCTGAGCTGCTTGGAGGTGCCTGGCCGAGGGCCGTGACTGTCGTCCCAAAGACTGCGCCGCTCACCTTCAGCCCACCGTCTCAGCCGGTCCACCGTGTAGGCGGCCCGTCGATGGCGGCGGCCGGCCCGAGGAGGGGCTCCTCATGCTAGTCGTTGTGGTGAGCCGCTGCAGCCACGGCTCGATTGAGGACCTGGCCCCAGAGGTAGCGGGCGGCCACCGGGACGTGCCGCAAGGCGCGGACCCGGCCACACTGGATGTCATTGAGGGAGGGGATGCCGGCAGCGTCTGCGGGGCGGGTTGCGCCGCCGAGAGCAGCACGGGCGGCAGGCTGGCATGTCGGATGCACCCCGTAGCACCGAGACGCTGAGGCCACAGACCGTGCAACGTTGGCGCCGGTGTTCTTGGAACCATTGGGGTGGGACGGTGCCTTGCAAGGTGCCGGCCAGGCGCGAGTCGATGTGCGAGATCAAGGTGCTTTTGTTGGTCCAGCCTGGCGCCCGACTGCAGTCAGAGCTAGGGCAACCAGGTAACCAGCCACGGGCCAATAGAAGCGGGAGGCCGCCCCGACCCCGTCCACCGCCATTGCGTCGGGGATGCAGAGCGGTCGCGTCGTCGCTGGCTTGGCCGCTCGCTGGGGGCAGGCGGGCCGGGGTTGGAGGCTTTGCCCAGCCAGACACAAGGGGTGAACCGGCCCAGGCCTGGAGCCGTGGGATGAGCTGGAGCAGGCCGACCCGTTCAGTGTGAGGTCGCCTTTTCGGTGGCTTGCTTGCGCTGGCGATCCATGAGGTGTTCAAGGCTCTGGTCAAGCGACGGCGGGCCTGACGACCGAGAAGGTAGATGGTGAGGCTCTGCTCTCATCTCCCAGCCAGCTGGTAGTGTGGGGCTCGCTGGGGTTGAGGCCCCAGCTGTGGTGAGGCTGGGCCATGCGCTGAGTAGCACCAGCAACCGAAGACAGAGCCCAGGAGATGGGGGCATGCGCACCCTTCGCGCTCCCACCCCCCACTGAGGCGGTGCGCCAGAGGTCCGAAGACGTGGGACCGACGGCACAGTGCAGGGGGGTCACCAGGCAGCTGCTGCCAAGGGGCCCGAAGGGAAAAGGACGGCATCGCTACTGGATACGGTTCTTGACCCAGATTGGACTCTTTCTTTCAGGGACTTGAAGCATTTTCAGGCCCTGTTGCAGTCGACATGGGAAAGGGTTTTTGCACAGTGCTTACACCAAAAATGTGTTCCAGGTTTCATAGTAGCTGCTTTGATATAGTCAGGAGTGTCCACTCCGGAAAGAAGGCCCGGTGTGGACCTGTGAGAAACTTATCTAGGACACATTGAACACTCGACAGTTTCTCTAGTCTGACAGGTCTGTGGATAGATCTTTGTCCCGTTCACCGCCATGCGTTGCACAAACACCAAAGTATGTATGTTCAGACTTCCTGGGCAGGATGTGTGGAGCGGGGCAACGACGGTCGCTCGTTGTTGCGCAAACTGGACTTTGTGCTACTAGGTCTGGCGTCAGCTCAAAAGGTACGTGCTGCGCAGCCTTGCCAGTCGAGGCGAGTGGACATGTATGTGTGCAGCTTCTGCTGGCGGCACAACCACAGACGGAATCTATACATATAAAGGATTCCTGCCAAGTGGAATAAGACGCACTGAGGACTCCTCTGCAACCACAAATATCTCTGCGCAGACTTTGAGTCGCACTTTGGTCTTTGAGTTCGTTGGGGAACAGTGTTTTGGAAACATGCGTGTCGCAGAAAGACACACCTCCGGGCCGTAGTTCCACTCGGACAAAAAAATCAAAGGCTCAATGCCTCGTAAACGAAATGACACGCGCTACTTTCAATGTGTTTGTGAAATGTGTGCGCCTCTCACGTTTTTTGAGGTTGGCAAACTGTAATTACACCGGGCCTTTAGCAGCGCCGGTACCATGTTTATACCGTTGCAAAGGTTGCCAGCCGAAGCACAATCATCAAGGAGTTGACAATTGAAAACCTAAGCCAGCTGTCGATTCGGGTGGCAAGCGCAGGCTCGTCCCTTAAAGTGGCAACACCCTTTGAAACTAGCACTGAATGAGAAGTGAAAAGCTGAAGCCTGGAGTGGTTTAGAGCTGATCAAACGGTTCATACTTTCCACAATGTGCGGAGCATAAGCTGCATACCAATGGATCTGCCCTTCATGCATCTTCCTGTCCCAGCAATGGCAACAGTGATGGTACAAAATACATGTCCATCAAAAATGCAGCTGTGCCACAAGTAGTTGTCCCAGCGTGATGCCCAGCGAATGGGACTTGAGATCCATACCTCTTCCAATATTGATTTCAAGACACTGTGCACGTTCACTTGCTGAGCTCAAAACAACATCGTAGCTATACGTGATCTTGTTCTCCTTCATTAAGTCCTTAATGTAGCGATGCACTTGTGACTAGTAGCGATGCACTTGTTACTAGTAGCGATGCACTTGTGACTAGTAGCGATGCACTTGTGACTGGTAGCGATGCACTTGTGACTAGTAGCGATGCACTTGTGGCTAGTAGCGATGCACTTGTGACTAGTAGCGATGCACTTGTGACTAGTAGCGATGCACTTGTGACTAGTAGCGATGCACTTGTGACTAG